AGACAATATTTTTGTGTTGAAGAAAGACCTGAGACCTGTGTCTGCAAATTCAAAAGGCTCACTAAGTTCCAGGCAAAATTAATGAGAAACTTATCTAAGCATATGCTGGTAACATTCTTGAACTTTAAGACAAAAGGATATCTAACAAGTTCCAAGTGGTGAAAAAAATGATTAAACTGAAAAGAAAAACAATCAGACATGTAATTTAGCTCCGACTTTGGAGGCTAAAAGAAAATGAGGCATACTCTACAAACTACTGAGAGAAAAAGACTATAATCCAAGAATTCTATATTAAAGCAAGTGATTTGCCTGTCTGTGTGAATGATATTTGTAAATATACAAGGACTCAGAGACTATATCACAGATATACCATCAGTTAAGAAAAAGATTTAAATAACAAATGATTAATTTTTTTTCTTGAGACAGAGTCTCACTCAGTTGCCCAGGCTGGAGTAGAGTGGTGTGATCTTGGCTCACTGCAACCTCTGCGAGGATCAAGTGATTCTCCTGCCCTGAGCCTCCTGAGTAGCTGGGACTACAGGCATGCCTCACCATGCCTGGCTGCCTTTTTGTATTTTTAGTAGAGATTGAGTTTTGCATCAGGCTGGTCTGGAACTCCTGATCCAAGGTGATCCATTCATCTCAGACTCTTAAAGTGCTAGGATTACAGATGTGAGCCACTGAACTCAGCCATAACAAATTAACTTGAATAAAACTTCATATATACATATATATGAAGTATATAAAGTATATACATATATAACATAGAAATGTAATTAGTTATCTGTCACTGCATAACAAATTATCTCAAAATTTAGTGACTGAAAATAACAGTATGCATTTGTTATCTCTGTTTTTGTGAGTCAAGAGTGGCTTAGCTAGGAAAGTTTGTCTTGAAGTCTCTCACAGAGATGAACTCATGATGTGGGCCCAGGCTGCAGTTACTTGAAAGCTAGACAGGAACTGGAGGATCTGCTTCCATGGTGGATCATTCATAGGGCTGTCAAGATGTTTAGCATTTGACAGGAAACCTCAGTTCCTCTGCAGGTGGGTCTAGGGCTGCTTGAGTGTTCTCATGATATGGTGGCCAGCAGGACTCAGAGCTGGTTATCCACAAGAGAGGAAGCCAGGTGGAGCCTCGGAGGTTGCATAGTAACATTCAAGAAACAAGTCACTAAATCCACTTTACGTTCAAGGAGAGGGCAATTAGCTGCCACCTTTGAAAGGAGAAGTGTTCAAATATTTGTGAATACATATACATAGCAAATAAACACATGAAAAGGTGTTGAATATCATTAGCCATTGGGAAATGCAAGCTAAAACCATGGTGGGAGTTTACTACACACAGGTCAGGATTGTGAAAATAAAATTTATCAAAACTGGAACAATTTGAGCAACAAAATAAAGTAGAATTGGATTATAGTAAAATAGTGAAAACACCAGATGCTCGCAAGGATATGGAGAAATTGGACCACTCATATTTTGCTGGTGGGAATGTAAAATGGTACAACCACTCTGAAAAACAGTTGGGTAGTTTCTTATAGAACTGAACAAGCAATTACCACACAGCCCAGCCATTGCACTCTTCGGCATCTATCCAAGAGAAATGAAAATTTATATTCACACAAAAACCTATACATAAATATTTATAGCATTTTTATTCCTATTGGCCCCAAAACTGGAGCAGCCCACATGTCTTTCAGCAGGTGAATGGCTAAAGAGATTGTGGTATATGTTCATTGTAGCATTATTCGTAGTAGCCAAGATCAACCTAAGTGTTTATGGATAGATGAATGGATAAAGAAAATGTGGCATATACATAGAGGGGAATACTGTTCACCCATCAAAAAGTAGGAAATCCTGTCATTTGCAACAACATAGACGAATCTGAAGGACATTAGATTAAGTGAAATGAGCCAGAAATACAGAAAGACAAATACCACAGGATCTCACTCACATGTGGAATCTAACAAAGTTGAACTAATTGAAGTAGAAAGTAGAATGGTGGTTTCCAGGGTTTTTAAAGGTGTTGGGGAGTCCAGACACAGTGGCTCGCGTCTGTAATCCCAGCACTTTGGGAGGCTGAGGTGGGCAGATCATGAGGTCAGGAGTTCGAGACCAGCCTGACCAACGTGGAAAAACTCTGTACTAAAAATACAAAATTAGCCGGGTGTGGCGGTGTGTGCCTGTAATCCCAGCTACTCAGGTGGCTGAGGCAGGAGAATTGCTTGAACCCGGGAGGTGGAGGTTGCAGTGAGCCGAGATCATGGCACTGCACTCCAGCCTGGGTGACAGAGCAAGACTTCGTCTCAAGAAAAAGAAAGAGAGAAAAAGGGGTAGAGGAGATTGGGGGGATGTTGACCGAAGTATACAGAAGTTCAGTTAGCCAGGAGGGATAAGTTTTCAAGAGACCTACTGTACAACATGGTGACTATAGTTAATAACAATATATATTGTATACTTGAAAATTGCTGAGATTTTTAAGTGTTCTTGCCCCCCAGAAATGTGTATGTGAGATAATACATATGTCAAGTAGCTCAATTTAGTCATTACACAATGTATAGACATTTCAAAACATCGTCTACATAAAAAATATGCATTTTGTTTCTTAATTAAAAAGCTTTTTGGCCGTGCATGTTGGCCCAAGCCTGTGATCCCAGCACTTTGGGAGGCCAAGGTGGGTGGATCACAAGGTCAAGAGATCAAGACCATCCTGGTCAACATGGTGAAACCCCGTCTCTCTACTAAAAATACTAAAAGTAGTTGGGTGTGGTGGCGTGCCCCTGTAGTCCCAGCTACTTGGAAGGCTGAGGCAGAATAATTGCTTGAACCCGGGAGGCAAAGGTTGCAGTGAGCCGAGATTATGCCATGTGTGCACTCCAGCCTGGCGCCTGGTGACAGAGTGAGACTCTGTCTAAAAAAAAAAAAAAAAAAAAAAAAAAATTAAGTTGTGGTATATCCACGCTATGGAATAATACTCAGCAATAAAAATGAACAAACTATTGATAGATACAGCAGTTTGGGTGAGTCGCCTGGGAATTATGCTGAGGGAAAAAAGCCAATCTCAAAAGGATGCATACTATATAAGTCCATTTATATGACATTTCTGAAATGAAAAAATTTTAGAAATAAAGAACAGTTTAGTGGTAGCCAGGAGTTAAGGACAGGTGTAGGAGGTCAGTATCACAAAAGAGCAGCATGAAAAATCACTGGGGTGGTGAAACCTTAGTATCTTGACTATGATGGTGGATACACATGGAATAATACTATACAGAGCTAAATATACACACACTCACACACACACATGCACACATACACACACAAATCAATACAAGTAAAGAAAACTGGGAAAGCCTGGACAAAATGGGTGGATTGTACAATGTCAGTATCCTGGAGCAATATCTAATACTGTACTGCAGTTTTCCTTAATGTTACCATTGGGGAAATTGGGTAAAAGGTACAAGGCAGCTCTCTGTGCTATTGCTTATAACTGCATGTTAATCTATGATTATCTCGTTACAATTTCGATTAGAAATACGTAGCTTCTGAGTTTTTATTTTTATTTATATTAATTTTTTTTGAGACAAGGTCTCACTTTGTTGCCTAAGCTGGAATGCAGTAGCGCAATTATGGGTCACTGCAATCTCGAACTCCTTAGCTCAAGCGATCCTCCTGCCTCAGCCTCTCAAGTAGCTGAGACTACATGTGTGTGCCAGCACGACCAGCTAATTTTTAAAATGTTTTTTGCAGAAACAGGGTCTTACTGTGTTGCCCAGGCTGGTCTCAAACTCCTGAGCTCAAGCGATCCTCCCACCTCTGTGGGACTTTCCCAAAGTGCTGGGATCACAGGCATGAGCCACCATGCCTGGCCTGAACTTTCAAAATATTTCAAAGGTTATGAAAAATGAGAGAAATAAATGCCATCTGTTATTGAAGATATGTAGCTATAGGTAGACTGTCCATCTGGAAAAATAATACAGTCAGACCCTATTTCATATTATGTAAATTATACCACATAAATAGAAGAAATCATTAGCTTCATCTTTCACATGTTTGTACCATGTTATTTTAGTTGTTAGTAGGAGCATGGGTTACTGCTGTAATGTTCAAAAATCAAATGATATATTTTTTTTAAGTCAAGCCAAAGCTTTCCCTTTCAATACCTCAAATGTTTACCACAATCATCATGGAATGCACATATCAGAAGAATACGCGAAGTGCCCATTTTGGAGACAGTATACATCTTAAAAAATTACTTTAGGCTGGGTGTGGTGGCTCATGCCTGTAATCTCAGCACTTTGGGAGGTCAACGCAGGCTGACCACCTGCGGTGAGGAGTTTGAGACCAGCCTGGGCAACATGGTGAAGCCCTGTACCTCTAATAATACAAAAATTAGTTGAGTGTGGTGGCATGTGCTTGTAATCCCAGCTACTTGGGAGGCTGAGGTAGGAGAATCGCTTGAACCCAGGAGGCAGAGGTTGCACTGAGCCAAGATTGCGCCATTGCACTCTAGCCTGGGGCAACAAGAGTGATACTCTGTCTCAAAAACAAAAAACAAAAAAAAAATATATATACACACACACACACACACACACACACACACACACACATATGTATATATAAAACTTTAAGGAACATAACATAGAAAGAAAATAATACTCAAATTTAGGTGCGGAAATATGTATTTAAGCTCATCTTGAAAGAATATGGGATAGCAACTGATAAAATACAAAGCAAAGCAATGCTCCCTAATGCAAAACAAGAAAGAGACGGACTCAATGTGGATGGGAATATGACACTGCCCGTAACACACAGTGGCAACCATTCAGGCCTGTGGGCACTACCTGTATTAGTTCAGGCGGCCACAGCACCAGGAAGAGCCAAACTCATCATTTAATATGGTTTGCCGAGACCTGCAGGAAGACCACCAGGGCCTTAGGTAAATTGTAAAACAGAAAAATTTGAGTGCGTTCCCTTTCTTTATGTCTTCCCCTTCTCAGACTCCCATTGCCCATGTCATTGGATGTAGAAAGAGATTTTGTTGTCTGAACACTTCAGCACCATCCTCAAAGCTGTGGACGACAGGTAACAAATGCACCTGTGTTTAAAAGAGAGATGTTAGGTACATTCATGAAAGGTCACCGAACCGATCTTCATTTTTTGTTTTTTGAGACATGGTCTCACTTTGTCACCCAGACTGGAGTGCAGTGGCCACATCACGGCTTACTGCAGCCTCAACATTCTGAACTCAACAGATCATCCCACATCAGCCTCCTAAGTAGCTGGGACTACAGACATACACCACCATGCCTGGCTAATTTTTGTTTATTTATTTATTCATTTTGTAGAGACTCGTCTTGCTTTGTTGCCCAGGCTGGTTTTGAACTCCCAGCATGAAGTGATCCTCCCGCCTTGGCCTCCCAAAGGGTTGACCAAGTGGCATGAGCCACCACACTGGACTCCTGATCTTTAATAGTCACTACTATTACTCATTTCCAAGTTGGTAAGAAAAAGAGAGATTTATTAATGAGCATCTTGGTAGTAAGAGAATTCACATGATTAGAATGCCATATTATCATGCTTCCTCTCCCACCAGCAAGTCAACAGAAGCAGTCCCACCTGGAAAGGATCCAAATGATCTACTTTAGAGAGCAGTGCTATCTACGGGAGAGGAGACTGGCATCTCGTTTTTCCATCTGGAAGCTGGATATCTTGCCTCCACAATGAAATATAGGAGCATTTGGGGAGAAAATGTCTCCAGGAAATTGGGTCATACAAGATAAAAGTAGAGACTTAACTCTCCCCTCTTAGGGTGGGGAACTTAGCCAGATTTGCCCATGGCATCAGACAAGGTTTTCTAACAAGCCAGCCCAGATTCTTAAGAATCACTCTTTCCTCTGAATTTCATATTGCTGATTGGTGATGAAATAAAATATTCTGTCCCTGTAAGTACCCTCAGACCACAACGCCTAATTTTCAGTTGAAAAATGTGGTCACCCTACACCTAGTCTTTCTACTTTCTGTTACCATTTATTTTCATGTTTATGCCCTATATGTCACTACAAATTCCTTGATGGCAGGGTTATTCTTCTTACTTGTCTCATTATATACCCAGATTTAACATGCAGCCGATTCTAGGTAAATGTTTGCTGCTGGTGTTCATGTTGCTGGTAACTCAGTTCTTCCCTCTTCCTTTTCTACTGTCTTTTCCCACCACCTTCCTGGGGACCTCTCCCAAATACTTGTTGCCCTTATGTTAACTTCCTAATGGACTGGGAATCAAAACTATAGGCTTACTGTTTTACCAGTGATCTGTGGGCCAGATTTCTGAAAAGGCTTTGTTCCACTTCCTCTGTTTTTAAAGCAAGAACAACGATATATTTTCCTCTGTCTAATCACTAAGCATATTAACAGAATCAAATGAGATGATGTGAATTGTGTTGCTCTGTAAATCTGATTATGTATCATTAGCCCTTTGCAAGATCATTTCTGGAGAGATACAGAAATAACTCATCTAAAAGGATACTAGCTTCTCACAGGGTTTTCTTTTTTATCCTCTTATCAATCTAGAAATCAAGATTGACAAGATTTTAGTCCTTTAGGAATGGGATAGCTGGGCCATGAATCAATTATGACTTATTTCAAGGATTTAAACAATGCAAAGAAAGCTTAGCTCTAAGGCTTCTCATTCCCTAAAGGTTAAAATTTGTATCCTAATTTCCATTTCTGGAATCTCTATTAGTCACAAGGAGGAGTCTACTGTGCCCTATTTTAGCAGAAGGCAGATTAAGTACAAGATTGAAATTTGCTCTCAAAGAAAGCAAATAGCCATATTTTTATCTTGAGAAACTACTCTCTTGAAAACAAAATGAAAGATAATAAGATTATCTGGTGGGTTTTATTTGCCATGTTAATGCTCTGGATGATTCAGGAAAACAAGCCCAGAAACTGAATTGTCTAGATTATTTGTCATCATCTGAATCTGAATTTGCTTATTCCACAGATAAATCAGCCAACCCTTCATTTCCCTGTTGGTTGTTTAAAAGTAGGGCAATGAGTCTAACATCTGATTTTTCTTCTCTGGTAGTGAAGAGTCCAAGGCTCTGACCTCAGCTAGGATTGTGGGGGTACAAAATCAGAACTGCCTGGGGTGCAGGTGAAGAGCAATGGGGGCCTGAGGTGGGGGACTCCATGAAGGAGTCTCGGGAAGCAAAAATAGAGAGCAAAGAAGGATCAATGGCCCAGACAAATGGCCACCGAATTCCAAACACACATCAGCAACAGTGCACACAGGATGGAGCGACCGTGATGACAGAGTGTGTGGGCACCTGAAAGGGCAGCAGGCAGAAGGACATTGTACACAGTGCTCTTCTCAGCACCATTAGCTGCAGCAAGTCAGAGCCTGCACCTCAGGCTCCAAGCAGCAGCTGTCACTTCACGTAATATGTTCCCAAGCAGAACTGAGATTATCGAGTGATCTCCAAAGTACTACAGAGAAGTCAACTAATAGAATCCTTGCTAATGTGTTCGCTCGTTCATTCCTTCATTCAGCCCACATGAATCGAGTGCCATTCTATGCCCGATCTGCTCTGAGCTATTAGGATAGGGCAGTGAATGACACATGTGGAGCTTAGAGGCTAGTGAAGGAAGACTGCAACTTTAGACAGAGTAACTAAGAAAGCCATGTAGTATTTGATACGTAAGAAGATATTAAGGGCTATGGAAAAAATTACAGCAGGATAAAAGGTACCGAGAGTGCTAAGAGTTGAAAACATTTGCCATTTTAAGCAGAATACTTGCTGAGAAGGGGACATTTGAGCAAAGACTTGAGAGAGGTGAAGGAGTTCAGCTTGTGGATATCTCGGAACACAATGGTCCGCAGTGTTCCAGGCAAAGGGGACAGCCAGCTCCTGAGTCAGGGAGGTGCCTGGTGTGTTGGGGGAACAGCAAGGAGACCAGTGTGGCTGGAGGTGGGAGAGTGAAGAGGAGCGAGTGAGGGATGAAATCACAGAGGTAAGGAGGGGAGCAGAGTTGCAGGTCACACTGGGCCTTCTAGGTCTTTAGAAAGACTGTGACTTTTGATCTGCAAGACATGGGAAATTGGTGGAGGTTTTCACAGCAGAGGAGTAATGTGATTGGATTTAGCATTCAAAGGATTTCGTTGGACGCTGTATTAAGAAGAGACTGTAGGGAAACAAGGGTGAAAGCAGAGACTGGTTAGGAGGCTTTTGTGTTATTCCAAGGGAGAGAGATGTCAGTACAAGCGATGGGTAAAATTTAACCTGCTGTTCCTCAGTGAACAGTACATTTGGATATTGTGCCTATATTGATTTTTTTTTGTTGTTATTTCTTTTTTTTTTCTCCCCTGCTTCTTTTTTTTTTTTTTTTTTAATTGAGACAGTGTGTTAGGCTGTCACCCAGGCTGGAGTGCAGGGGCACAACCATGGCTCACTGCAGCCTCCACCTCCCAGTGTTCAGTGGGAGGTTGTGCTCCCACTGTGCTCAGGTGATCCTCCCATCTCAGCCTCCCAAGTATCCGGGATTACAATCTCTTTATGGCTCAGACAGTCAGCAGGGTTCACTGAGGTGGGGCCTGGTGATGAGTCAAGCTAAAGACCCAATGGTAAATTGATGAGGTCTGTTACAGAATTTACTATACGTCTAAACACAAAGCAAAATATTCAAAATATCTAAATATCTCATCTGTGTTTTCTTATCTCTATCTATCTATATTTCACCTATATTTGCTTACTCATCCTTGTTGGCATTCTTTTTACTGTCCTATTTGCTGACACTTCATATGTATTTTCTGAGGTATTATATCCACAAGTTATCTTGAATCTCAAGAACCCATATGATGAACAGAGTCTGGAGCAGCATGGGTCTTGCACCTCTTCCTACCTTAATTCTTCCCTCAGAGCTGCTAGGTTCACCCCAGTTGGCTGATTTCAGGACCTATATTATGGCAGGTGGAAAATACATGGCAGGAAGACTTAATGCTGGACCCAGATTTCCTTATGGAAAAAAGACCACTGCAAGAGCTGTCTAGGGCCTGTGAATGGGGGGTGAACTAGGCAGGTATTCCTCTGGTGGGAGATGCCAGCGCTGGCAGGAACCAGACATGCATCACCTAAGACAGGCTGCTGTGGAATTCACATTGCCCCAGTCACTGTGCTGAGGAGGATCCATTGTTTGAAGGCAGTAATGACTCAGTTTCTGATGCAGCCAACGTCAGTGATAAAGTGAATCCTCTGGATTCCAGCAGTGACAAAGGATTTCATCTTCTAGAGTAAATGATTTTCTTGCTTTTCATGGCGAAGATTAAAATATTTTATTAATTCTTAGATTTTTGTGACTGATTTTACTCTACTACATGGAGTGAAATATCAGCTTTTTAAAAATTTCACTTAATTTTCTCCTCTTTGCTCACTAGTATCTACTGTGACATGTGAAGGAACATTACAAAATAGGAATCTTTTCTTTTCTTTTTTGAGACAGTCACTCTATTGCCCAGGCTGGAGTGTAGTGGTGCGATATTGGCTCACTGCAACTTCCGCCTCCGGGTTGAAGTGATTCTCGTGCCTCAGCCTTCTGAGTAGCTGACACTACAGGCACATGCCACCACACCTGGCTAATTTTTGTATTTTTTAGTAGAGACAGGGGTTCCCCATGTTGGCCAGGCTGGTCTCGAACTCCTGGGCTCTAGTGATCTGCCTACCTCAGCCTCTGAAAGTGCTGGGATTATAATTATGAGCCCCTGTGCCTGGCAGGGAATCTTTTCAACATTTTCTGTTTTTATATTTCTTGTGACAAGTTCTTTTTTACTGTGATATTGTTAGTCTACATGTACCGAAGTCTGCCAAGCAAGAATCTTAGATTTTAAACATCAGAAACAGACTTTAGGCCAGGCACAGAGGCTGACCCCTGTAATCCCAGCACTTTGGGAGGCCAAGGCAGGCGGATCACCTGAGATCAGGAGTTCGAGACTAGCCTGGCTAACATGGTGAAACCCTGTCTCTACTAAAAATACAAAAATTAGCCAGGCGTGGTGGCAGGCAGCTGTAGTCCCAGCTACTCCAGGGGCTGAGGCAGGAGAATCACCTGAACCCGGGTGGCAGAGGTTGCAGTGAGCCGAGATCACACCACTGTACTCCAGTCTGCATGGCAGAACAAGATTCCATCAAAAGAAAGAAGGAAGGAAAGGGAAGGGGAGGGGAGGGGAGGGGAGGGGAGGGGAGGGGAGGGGAGGGGAGGGGAGGGGAGGAAGGAAAGAAAGCCGACTGTAAAATACATATCTGTTTCATCTACATGGGCTATTAAAGCTTCATGCAAACATATATTATGTTGATGCTTTTAGTTATGAATATTCATTGAAATTACTACCGGTATTTGTTTTGATAGCGTTTGTCTTATAAGGCTTCTATTGCTCAGTAAACATATGCACTGTTGCCTGTTATCTACCAATCTTCCACATTGCAAATATAATTCTTTTTGCTAAGGGAGTTTATACTTATTTTAGGGTTTAGTCAACTATTACTGCATGTCTAGAACCTAAGATTGTTAACTTTGGATTCCAGTATTCTCTGTATTGCATTTCCATGAATAAAATAATGTTTTCTTTTATTTAAAAAAACTTTTTTATTTATTTTTTGAGACAGAGTCTTGCTCTGTCACCCAGGCAAGAGTGCAGTGGCACGATCTCGGCTCACTGCAACATCCACCTCTTGGGTTCAAGTGATTCTCCTGCCTCAGCCTCCTGAGTAGCTGGGACTACAGGTGTGTACCACCATGTCCAGCTAATTTTTGTATTTTTAGAAGAGACGGGCTTTCACCATGTTGGCTAGCCTGATCTTGAACTCCTGACCTCAAGCGATCAACTCACGTCAGCCTCCCAAAGTGCTGGGATTATAGGGGTGAAACACCATGACTGGGCTATTAAAAAGACTTTAAAATGACCCTCAATACATGTATTAATTAATTTTTCCAAAGAAAGTTTTCTTTGTAAAATTGGGGCACGTCTTACATGGTAGTAAGCATGGTGGTTTGGGGAAGGAAATCCTGCCATAGACATCACATTTCTGATGAATTCTCCAAATTTAAACAAATAGAAGAATAATTTTACATCATTTACTTTACTTCTAATTGCTTATATTGGAGGTTTTCTCCAAGACCTCTGAGAGAAAAGCTAGATTACTCATCATATGAGTCCCACTCAACATTTTCATAGAAATTATCAGGGCATTAATTTTTATTTTTACCAATTTATAGTTATTAGAGGTCAAACTGCTCAAGCACATAAGACTGGAAGATATAATTTGCTCATGTTTACAAAAGTTTTACAGTAATAGGAGGTTGCGGTGAGCCAAGATCGTGCCATTGCTCTCCAGCCTGGGTAACAAAAGCGAAACTCCATCTCAAAAAAAAAAAGAAAGAAAATAGTCTTTCTGATGTTTCTGCTTTTTAGAATATAAAATGACAAATCTACTACATTTGCTTTTGTAAAACAAACTTTCTCTTTAAATATAATATGCAGTCACGAAAGTGTACAAATAAAATGTATGGCCCAATGAATTTTTATGAGGTGCATTTTGATAACTTCTAGAATGCATCTTGCTGACCTCTAAACACGAGGGGCCTAACTGACCACTGTGCTCTACAATTCATTATTGTACCTGGGATGAGGCCACCCTCCCCTGGGGCTGCTCACAGTCAATGACTGTGATACTGAGGCAGGCCTATTACTGGGAGACACAGGTCTTCCTTGATGATCAACTTGGACTTGAGGACTCCCCAGCACCCTTGCTGAATCTTCCCCTGACTTCATGATGGTCTAGGATACCACCCAACATATCTTCCCTCCCTCTTTTACTCAGGGTCAGACTTGCATGTGACCACTCTCAGTCTTTTCAGCTCCTTCCCTATGTTCTCACACAAGCATTTTCCTAAGAAAGTCCTTGAACATTTTGTGTTGGTGTCTCCTTCTTAGAGAACTCAAACTAACATAGGAACCCAACTATGTAACCAGCCCAGATCAAGAGAAAGAATATAACCAGCATCTTGAAAGAGCCCTTTGTGCCTCTTCCTAAAAATTACAACACAACCAACCCTCTACCAAAGGTAACCATTATCTTCACTTTTAATTCCATAGATTAGTTGTGCCTGTTTTTGAATTTTGTATAAATGAATCTTACAGACTGTATTCTTTTATGCCTGTCCCCTTTAATGCAACATTATGGTTGTGGCATTCATCCATGCAGTTACATATAGCAATATTTCAGATAGACTTTTGTGTCTTATTCATTCTAGTTGTTATTGATAGGAGTATTGATCTACCACATTAAGGTGGCAGTGAATGTCCTTCACTAAATTTATATTTAGTAACTGTAGTGCACCAAAGAATTTATTACCTAAAGAGTACCTTGTTAAATAAATCACGTCTATTCAAGTCTTCACTGACTTAAAAATAAAGTTTCATTGACTTTACCTTTAAACAAATGTAAATCCTTGGAGGATGTGCATGTCAGCATGGGACTTCAAATAGAAATGAAATAGACTTCAAAAAATGCTTTATATTATATAAGTACAAAGAATTCACAGTGTAGTGTGCCTTTCAGCAGCCTTGAATTTATTACTCCAACCTAGTAAAAATGCTCTCTTAAGATTACTAGTGACCTTATAATTGGTCACCTTGATACTTTTCAGTCCTCACTTCATTCGATAGTACTGAATAACACTGCTAAATCTGGCCTGTGTCTGTCTTAATAAGTAGTGAACTGAAACCTAACTCAGTATGTAAACAAACTGCAACTGAATTAATCCTATATTCTTGTAACAGGTAGCTAAATCTCAGCCAATCATAGCAGCTGAACTTCAATTCATTCAGCCAATCACAAGCTGCCAACTGATTAGACCATGTCTGTAACACAAATGGTGACCTGTAACAATCAAGCTGTTTCTGTATGTCATTCTCTTTTTCTGTCTATAAATACTGCCTGCCTGCATTGCTGGATGGAGCTCTCTGAACTTCTCTTCGTTCAGGGTGCTGCCCATTTCATGAATTGTTCTTTGCTCAGATAAGCTGCTAAATTTAATTTGTCTAAAGTTTTTCTGTTAACATCAAGGACTATATGCTTCTTAAAATTGTCTTCTTACTTAGCTTTCTGAGAGAGAATATAGTGAAGTGGTTAAGAGCACAGACTCTGGAGCCAGACTGCCTAATTCTGAATACTGGCTCTAAACAGTATTCTGTTTGTAATCTGTCAAGATTATGTAAGCTTTCTATCTTTCTGTTTCATTATCTTCTCAATGGAGATAGTAATAATAGCGTTTGCTTCAAAGGGCTATTGTAAGATTTGAATGAATTAATATATGTAAAGCACTTAAAATTGCACTGGCACATTTTAAACAGTGTGTTTGCTGTTGTTAGTCTATTCACATTCCTGATTCATCTCTGACATCCCAGTGGGCCTCAGTTGTCTCTGTAGGTTCCTCTTTTTCCCAATTCTCTAAGGTTTTTGTTCCCAACAATTCTCTGCTGGGCTTCTTGTCACTTATTTATTTATTTTAGAGACCGGGTCTCACTCTGTTGCCGAGGCTGGAGTGCAGTGTTGTGCTCATAGCTCACTGCAGCCTCAAACTCCTCAGCTTAAGCAATCCTTCCACCTCAGTCTTCTGAGTAGTTGGGACTGCAGGTGCACCATCATATTCAGTCTTTTTTTTTTTTTTTTTTTTTTTTTTTAGAGACAGGGTTTTGCTATACTGCCCAGGATTTCCTCACTTCAAACACTGTTCTTGGGGCAACTTTACCCATGCTTCCAGATGAAAGACCATTTACAGGTAGATGGCTCCTTAGCTTAGTCAGCTGTCTTGGTCTCTCTCAGGAGCTCAAGATTTACATTTTCAGCTGATTACTAAACATATGCATCTAGAGGTACCACGGACACTTCAAACTCAACATGTCAAAAAGCAAGTTAATTCCCTTGTTGCCTCAATTTTTCTAAACCTTCACATAATTTTACAGCCAATGGAGAACCCTAGCAATTAGGGCAAGATGTTCTCCATTGTTAATTTAATAGAAGAGGATGTTGTAGTATTAAATATGGGTGGGAGAAGGTGCTGTTCAAGTTCCTTTAGTGGTAGATATAGTCATCCCTTATAGATCACACAAAGTGTATGTGTTCAAGATTAGTATTGAGCCAAGCGTGGCAGCTCATGTCTGTAATCCCAGCACGTTGGGAGGCTCAGGAGGTCAGGAGTTCAAGACCAGCCTGACCAACATGGAGAAACCCCGTCTCTACTAAAAATGCAAAAATTAGCTGGGTGTGGTGGCATATGTCTGTAATCCCAGCTACTCAGGAGGCTGAGGCAGGAGAATCACTTGAACCCGGGAGGTGGAGGTTGCAGTGAGCCAAGATTGTGCCATTGCACTCCAGCCTAGATGACATATAGAGACTCCATCTCAAAAAAAAGAAAGATTTGTTTTGAGATACCCAGAAAAAAGGTGTATTATAGTCCAGAGTGGAGACTTTTACTCTTCTCTCCTCTCAAATTCATGTAAGCTAAAGTTCATTTCTCTCCTGTATCCAACAGGAGAATCCAGATTGAGGAGAGAAGAACTTGATCTGCAGCTCAGAGCAAGGTTCTGCACTTTACTAAACACATGAGATAACTTGATTTTTTTTTTTTTTTTTTGAACAGAGTCTTGCTCTGTCACCAGGCTGGAGTGCAGTGGTGTGAGCTTGGCTCACTGCAACCTCCGCCTCCTGGGTTTAAGCAGTTCTCTGTCTCAGCCTCCTGAGTAGCTAGGATTACAGATGTCCACCACCATGCCCGGCTCATTTTTGAATTTTTAGTAAAGACGGGGTTTCATCATCTTGGCCAGGCTGGTCTTGAACTCCTGACCTCGTGATCCACCTGCCTCAGACTCCCAAAGTGATGGGATTACAGGCATGAGCCTTTGTGCCTGGCCAAGAACTTGATTTTTGATGAAGAAGTGGCACATTCTGGAAAACAGGAGAGAAGTTAAATACATCAGAAAAGGGAAGAGTTAAAAGAGAAAGAGACTGTGGGGAGAGGGGAGCAGATTAGCTGTTAAGAAAGGTGGGTGTCTTCAGGGACACCTGGAAGATCTGAACAGTGAAGCTCTGTGCTCTTGTGGCCTAAAAGGGGATGAAAG